TATGCATGCCGCACCTGTGTCCGGCATGATTCCTTGGAACGAGTCTTGAGAGTAACGATCTAGTATGAATTGTGTGGGTTCGTCACTGTTGAATAACTTGATGCCTACTGGAGAGATCCGATGATGGAAAGCTTCGTTGGACAGAAAGGTCGCAGCAGCGTAGAACGATTCATAAGGGTCAGAGGAGTCAGAATCATCGGATTCCTCGGTGCTCGAGTCATCCTGATCCTGTGATTCCCCTTCATAGTCAGCCAAGAACATAGCATACGAACGAGATTGACCGTGGAAGCCTCTCTCGTAGATACTTCTCTTTGGCTGCTTTTCTCTCGTTTTCAGGATGTCTCGTTGAGAAACAACCTTCCTTGCCGCAAACGTAGCATTTCTTCTTCCAATTTGGCTGACGCCTTTGTGATTGACCTCTTGTTCCGCCGGAATTTCGCTGAAATTTGCGATCCACGAAGTGCTGATCATGTCCTCTATCCAGGTCTTGGGGATATTGGCCACTGGGTTGTTCAGATCGTTCATCTTGCATGGCAGATAGCGATGATCGAAGCTGTGATGCCAATCCCTCAAATGTAGGTGCGGGAGTATATCGCGAGTCGGAATTCAGGCACACCACGGCACGCCCTGAGCGTTGCATCGATCAGGCCACCTTCGCCGCCAGACTTATCCCCGAGTGCTCTCCTACAGAGCCGCAATTTCGTAAGAAGGGCCTGGAGGACCTCGTCAGATGACTTACCGGGCATCTCAGCCCGAAGTCGGCTGAAGGTGAGGTCCTCCAGTGGGTATGATACATCTTCTGGTTGATTTCGGTGTCAAAGTGCTCTTTCATCTTCTGATACATCTCAGCGAAGGTTAAATCAGTGCTGATTTCGTGTAGAAAGAAGGACTGAGCTTCCTGGCCAGAATCGAAGGAAAACACCATGGAATTTAGACGGAGGAATGTTTGCTTGACGGCACACGCTCATGAATTTCCGGATCTTGTCATCGAAGATATCGTATGGTTCGCCGGTATAGGCTAGTTTCTTGTCCCATATCTTAATGAATCTAATCGTGAGATCGGCCTCAACTTCCTCGTTCTCGAATCGAACAGGTGGAATGCTCGTGTATGCATCTCGGAAGTTGGTAGTCCGTACGGGGCGTCTGCTGATACCGAGGGGATTCGCGCCATTGATGCTGAGGCTCTTGCTGAGCGGGTTGATGGGTCTCAATGATCTGAGGGGATTCCGGTTCCGCCGGTCGGGTAATAGTTGGCTGCTGGATTACTACCGGTGCCGGTGACGATATAGCCGCTTTAACAGTTCCTTGGAGCAGCTTCTGTTTCACCTTATATGCCACGGTGTTTTCAGCAACCTCTTGACCAAGCAACTCGTTCTCATCCCATTCAGGAAGTTCGTTACTTGTTAGAAGGCCACATAAAGCTCGAGAGATGCTAGAGTTGGCCTTGCCCATATAGATCCCCCTAATTCTGAGAAGCGTCCGGAGTCTTGATCTAAGGCGTGGGTTGATTAGTTCGAAGTCATCATAGCTCCATCCCGTGAAGTCGTTATACAGATCCCCAAGCAGGGCAATTCCGTGGTTACGTTTATCCACCGTGTATGTTGCCACACAGCCTAAGAAGAAGCTGTTGCGGTGGACAAGGGAGGAGCTCTGGGTGATAGGTTCGTTGGAAATCCGCGTCGAAATGCCTGATCGGGAGTGAAGGGAGCTCCACGATCGTCAGGTTCCGTTCAACGAGTTGCCTGTCTTCGAGAGACACGTTGGCCGGGGTATCCTGGGCTGTTGCCGGGGCTAGTGCGGCAGATGAATTGTCAGACATATTGACAGGCTGTGTGCTGAGAAACAGGGCACAGGGTGTCAATGAGGTTATCAATGTGCGATAGGGCACGCCTAAGGGTCGCTGATGACAGCAAAGCTTAGGCACGGTTGGATAACTAGAGTGGGCTCTGATGCAGAGTCTTCGTAGCAATCCGCGCGTTGTAGCAACTATCCTACCGTCAGGAGCTCGCTTTGCAGAGCGTGACGATAGGTTAGCTCTCTTCCGTCTTGCTGTTCTGTGTCACCTTTGCCGGGCGACACTGATCAGTGTGGACAGGCTCTTCACTGCAGTGAGGTTATTCGAACTGGTTCAATTGGTTATATCTTGTGTAACTAGGGAAACGTGTCCCATACAAACTGTGTGCAAAGACCTTCCTCCCTGTGTCTCACCTCTTACTCGCACGTGACTAGCGCGGTCGATTAGTTATACGTGCGCGATCGGTGCCTAGTGCACAGGTGGATCCAACAAGGGCTGAATTAGTATCTATACGATCAAGGAGATAATTATTTAGAGCTTTACCGCGCTACCTACGCTGCTTCTGTCGCAAAGTGTAGCCGGATTTTGCAGGTCTCGGAGATATCTCCTAGCTAGAGGGGTTATAGAGGGAGCTGAAAAGCGGTGTAAGAAGCTAGAAGGAGGTGTAGAGGGTCGAGAAAGGAAGGTGTAGGGAAGAGAGGGGAAGCGGAAGTAATAGCTTCTATAGAGGTAGCGGGAGAGTAAGACGGATCTACTAGCAACGGCTGGAAAAGAGGGGTAAATGCATTAGTTCTAATAATTAATCATTTATATCGTATTATAACTTATATACTAGTACTATATAAACCACCGTTAGGCACCAGGGCGCCTATATATTAGCCGCCTATCTCTAACCTATATAGAGTTAATTGTCTAATACTATATATAACCCCGCACGCATAGCTATATAGCTAGGTATATAATCTATAGCATTATTTAATAGCCTAAGGCACTATTATAGTCTTATAGGCTAGTCGGGGTAATAGGCCTATATAAGGACCTTTATAGCTCTAATAGGCGTAGGCCTAAGGGCACTATATCTTTCGTGGGTGCTAGGTTATTATAACTAGCTATAATATATAGCTGCTAAGCTAAAAGCTAATAAATGCACTATTATATAATATTAAAAACCTAACCTATAATCTTTATCCTAAATATTTCTAGACGGAGAAACTTCTCCGAGCAAGCTATAGATATATAATAAGATAACTAATTTTACGGCCTATTATATACTCTAAATTTTAGATAGATATATATCTTAGAATTTTTACAGTTATTTATATAAGGAGGCAACTTCCGCCTAGGAAATATTATACTATGTAATTTTCATGAAGCGTGGCCTAATGTCGCTGTTCTCGGAGATATCCCTTAGTAAGAGGGACCTAGGAAGCTGAAAACACCGGTGTGGAAGAAGGAAGAAGGAGCTGAAAGGAGGTGCAGAGAGGAGGGTGGGGGCAAGAAGGGAAGTAGAAGTAGCGATAGCTTCCTATAGAGGTGGCGAAAGATAAGACGGATGTGCTGGCAACGGCTAAAAAGGAGGGGAAAACCCGGCAAAAAGCTCGGTAGTTAAGAGGACATTAGTGGCTTCTTTAAGTAGGATCTTCTTTGTTAATTGGGATGCTAGACGGATATAAAGAGGGGCGCTAGATAGAGGAAAGAAGGACAATTAAGGCAATACAACAATTACTCCCCTGCCGCTACTGCTACCCCCGCAAGAATCAAATAACTTTGCCCTGCCTATCCGACCCCTTACTTCTACTTTTACCTTCGTGCATTTTATATGCACTTCTCGCACCTCTCTTCGCGAGAGTAATCATAAGTGCTAAATATTCAACGTCTTATTTATATTCATCCTTGCTTTTTCTAGGATAACTAGATCTGCTACGAACATCTCTATTCCCCGGATTCTTATATTGCCTAGTTTATTTACCTGCTCCCTATTTATATCCTTTCCGGGATCATCTAGAGAGCTGCCATGGCACTTAGAATATTGTCGACGTTGTTTAAACATCCAACAGTAGACGAAACTTCGTCTATCGTAAAAGGAATTATGCTAACCTTTATAATTATTTCGGCAATCTCTTATTAAATGTCGGCTCGAACACTATCTTGACCAAAAGCCGTTTCCTCTGGCTAACCCTCCTATGTGGTACCAGCCTCGGATTATTAGACAAATAGAGTTTTTATTTAAAAGCTCGGAAGTTCTCTCCGATGGTAGAAGAGATAATGTTGGAAAGCCCTTCAGACTCTTGTCAGAACTCGGCGAAGTGTTGGTGTTACCGTCGCTATTTGCAAATGTTATTGGCAACAATACACGTCTTAATGCTCATAAAGCTCGGGCAGAGGTGAGAAACTAAACCAACTTTATATCACAACGTATTACTGACTATAAGTAGCAAGTTCATAGCTATTTACCTGGTTTTGAGCCGTTCCGGTTTATTCAAGATGAGTCTCGAATTTTGCACACAGTGATTAAGAAGTGGCTGAAAGGAGGAATCTCGGTACGTTGGCCCGGTCTTCAATATCTCAATGGTTTCTTTAATAATATATCAAGACGCTTTAGTTAAGCCGCTTTCATCCGAAGCGGAGCTAGCTACCAGAATGCTTCTCGGCGACTGCTTAGGTAATTCTTTCGCCAAGAGTTGTATAGGCTGTATTGACAGGACATATTAGAATGGCGCGAGTGCAAACCTTTGAATCTATTCTCGACCTAATAGTCCGCATGACATCTGGTATCTTCCTGGGCGACGACATCGGCCGCAACGAAGACTGGTTAAGGATCACCAGCGAGTATACATTTCACAGCCTCGAAGCAATCGTAAAGATCAACCTTGTACCTAGGCCGCTTCGGGGCATGCTTCACTGGTTCTTTGCAGATTGCAAAAAAGTGAGGCGATGTTATGCCCAAGCGCAGGAGTTCTTGAGACCTATTGTCGAAAATCGAAATACGAAAAGGAGCCAGTTCAAGACTGGAGACAAGTTTAAACCGATATTCAATGACAGTATCGATTGGGCCGAGCACGAGAGCAACGGTCATTCCTACGAACCGTCCGCCTTCCAACTCATACTATCATTTACAGCAACACATAACACAACGGACCTTTGCACCTATACGTTAGCCCTGCTGGCCAGCAACCCAGAATTATTTGAACCAGTGCGCAGAGATATGGTCGACACCCTTCGGTCGCATGGATGGAAGCAAGGGGCGCTCGATGATCTGAAATTGCTCGATAGCGCGATAAAAGAGGCGCAGCGTCTAAAGCCTATCGATTTAGGTGAGGCCACCGAAAATTACAGCCATGTTTATTTCGTGCTGATCATTTTAGTGACAATGAGCCGAATCGTTTCCGAGAATACTATCATTGCCGGCGATTTGAAGATACGTAAAGGTGAACGAATCGCTGTCGACGTCTCCAGTATGATGGATCCAGCCATTTATGGAAACCCAGAAAATTTTGATATCTATCGCTTTGTCCACCTGAGCGAGAAACCGGACTGGACGAAGCGCGGCTTGTATCAACAAGTGCGGAACATCTAGGATTTGGCCACGGATTTAATGCTTGTCCTGGTCGGTTCTTCGCTTCCAACACGGTTAAGGTGGCTTTATGTTTCTTAATATTGAAGTACGACTGGAGACTTGGGTCGGGAAGCGACGTGAAGCCACTTATTATTGGCCTTATTAGAACCACTAATCCAAAGGCAGCGTTATTATTCCGACGCCGAAATGCAGAGATAGACCTCGGAAGCCTGCTTTGATAATGGTATTGCTCTGGGGAATTCACACTTGCGACGTACGTTATAAAGAAATAGTTGGTACGTACGACGCTTGCGCGAACTTTGCGTCTTCATTAAGGGGACATTAGCCTCAAGGAAACGCTTTTGACCATTGTCGCTCAAGCAATAAACAGCCATGAGTGCGTAGGCACACTCGGTGATTGTGGGCAGCGCATCGTTGCTGGTCATCGATTTGCGCTCTCTTTTTTGGCAGATTCATTGTGCAGTAATAAAAGTAAGCCGTAAATCAAGGCCGTGACTAGGGAGCACATACTTCTGCCTAAAGAGCCCAAAAATTAGGGCAGTGTGGCTAGTTAAGGCGCAGCGCCGATACCGCATAATTAGGTGCGTATGTTGGCTCGTCTTAAGGAATTTTCCGATGATCTGCCGGATCCCGTGACCCGCCGGACTTACACGCGACCGTAAGTTAATAGACATCAATCCATAATAACTCCATAGCAACGGGGCCAAATTTTCTCTAACTTAAAATGTAATAAAAAAGCGACTACGAGATATATATCATCCTATTTCGTAGTCGTTAAGCTATTATTGTCACGACCAACGAGGGTCTTAAAGACCCAACAAGGGTCCCAGTGGGCCACAGACTAATGTATAGCTATTGAAGGTTGGGCTCACGCCCACACGCACTAACAGGCGCGCCCCTCATCCCTATAAGCGGAGACGATGCCATCGCCGCATCCGGAGGCACCGAATGCGGTAGTTAACCTAAGGGATGCTAAGGAAGTCACTTAACGGATCCGGATAACCGTAAGCTGCCGGATTAGTAGGGAAACCTATTCCCCCCGTACTTCGTATATATATATATAGTCACACCTACGGACTCCCTCTTTTAGGCAGGACAGAGCAATATACACCCTCTTTCTTTAATGCAAAGACCTAATAACTAGCAATAATTATAGTCGCTTACTATTCCGCTGCGGCCGTCCTGAGCTCCGATATACTACTACTATCTCCCGATTACTCTTAATAGCTAGAAAGGTCTTTAGGCACGAGGTGTTCGGCCTAGCGGAATCCTTGCCTTCTTTGCTAAGTCGTGCTATAGCTAATCTAGCGCTTGCGATATTACCGGAAGCTCTAATAGTAACGGAGGAGCGACGATTATTTCGTTTAGAATTCCTAGACTCTTCTCTTATAGGTTAAAGGCCCTAGCTAGCTTTACTACCCCTATTACGGCCTTTCCTAGTAAAGACGCCCGAAGTCGTTATAAAGCTATTAGTTAGCCTCTTTCTCTTACTTTCTAGCTTCTTTTTCCTATAATTTTCGCTCCCTTTTCTTCTCTCGCTACTTCTTTCTTTCTAACGGGACCTCTTTTTATTCTTCCGCCTTCTACTATTACTAACCCCTCTAGGATTCCTTTTAAAGAGCCTCCTCTTTCTTTTAGGCCTCTATTATAGCTTTCTCCTCTTAAGCTTAGGCTACTTTTTACGGGCTAAAGACTAAAGTAAAGTTAGGATCTATATAGTTAAAGAGGTAATCTTTTAAAGCGGTACTATACTACCTACGCTACTTCTTATAAATTATTACCTTATAGAGTCCCTTATTCTTATATCTAAGTAGCTTAACCTCGGATTTAAGGCTTTTAAGAGTGCTCTTTAGCCTCTAAGTATTAACTTTTAAATCTATAGTAGATTTATTAACTACTTTATTAATAAGCCGTCGTAATTCTTAAGTAGTAGGCTATTATAATACTAGTAAGTCTTTTAAACCGCTGCCTATATTAAAATCGTCGGTTTTCTTCTTTATAATTTATAATAGGACGACTTTAAGATTAAAAGGTAGGAGCCTAGTCTATATCTACTTACTTTTAATATTCTTTAAAAGAAAGACGCCTTAAATATATTCTAAAATAAGGTCTAGAACTCGCGCTTAAATAGCCTAACGAGCCCTTAAGACTTTACTATCTATTAGATAAGCTAATTTATATATACTATTAATAGAGGGCTAAATAGGGATACGTTTAAGGGCTAGAGCTTATAAGTAAAGTAAGGAGGAAATACTACTATAATAATCTAATACTAATCGTACTACTTTAGAAAGTCTATATTAATATAGCTAAAGTATTTATTAGTAATAAAAAGGTAATAATTACGTCCGTTTTATACTTTTACTTTAGTAAACGGATTCTTATTATTAATTTATACTAAGGACCTATTAAAGGTATCTAGAAAGCTACTTATTCTAAGCGGCTAGAAACTATAGCTTATTCCGTTTAAGTAAAAACTAACTACCTACCTTTCTTCCTCTTTAAGTTTATATTTAACTTAGTACTTAATAATTAGTAAGGTAAATTATCTTACTAAATAATATAGTTATTATAGAGTATACGTACCGCCCTAGCGCCTAGGTACGCTAGCGCGCCCGGGCGTATCCTTAATATATATAGTTAATTAACGAAGCTATTACTTAGTTAATTTCTGTCTTCCTTTACGTATACGTATACTTTTCGGCCTCTACGTAGTAGAGGGGTTAGTAGTATATCTACTACTTTAGCCTACCCTCTAGCTAAGACCCTAATAATAGTATCCTATTATATCCTTAAAATTTACCTTAGACTATTAATACCTACCTTTTAGTAGTAGATATAAGCTAGTTAGGGATTAGGTTAAGCGCGCTAGTAGTCCTCCTAAAGGTCCTCTTCTTATCTAAGTTAAAGGCGCTAGTTACTATCGCTTAGGCTCGCTAATAGATTTCTTTAAGGAGTATATCTTAAGTCGTTTCTACCTTAAAGCGGCCCTAGCTCTCTTAAGCCTAGAAGGCCGCCCTAGCCTCTTCTCCTTTCTTTCTCTTTTTCTAAGGCTATAGTTATAGCTCTTTACCTCTTTACTAGCCTTTTAGTTAGTATAGCCTCTACCTATCCCTTAGCTTAGGGCCTTACCTTTACTACTTAGCGCTCTTAAAAACCTCTTAGGCCTTACTAAGTAAGAGCCTTAAATACTATCTTATACCTTTTATAGTTTTAAATAAGTATAGCTCTACGCTAGGTATATATCTTAATAAAGCGCGTACTAAATAAAGATCTCTTTAGTCTTTAATTAATATATATCCTTACCGCCTTTATATATTAATACTTTATATTAGCTATATATCGCTTTTATACTATAGTACTTAGCGATATATTTTATTTAATAGTACTTAAAGTACTAGCGAACTATATGCCCCTACCTAGGGCCGCTACTATAGCGGCCTAGGTCTAAGGCTAGGGCGTTAGCTAAAGAGGAAGGCTTTACTTAAAGGCCTTTAAAACTATATCTATAATAATAGACTTAATATTACTTAGGGTTAGGCTTAGTAGCGCCGCCGCCCTTACTTTAGTAGCTAGGAGCCTTTATATAATATTTTTAATAAAGTTATAAGTAGCTCCTTATATATATTTAGTAATATTAGCCTTTACTTTATTTTTAGTAATTTACGTAAAATCGCTTTAGTTTAGTCCTAAGCTTATTATATTACTATATTCCTATTATAATTAAAAATAATATTTAGTAGTTACTTACTTTACTAACTACTATTAAGTTACCTCTTATCTTACCCTTATCTTAAGGCTATTATACTATCTTAGTATAGGGGTAACTAGGTATAAGGAATCTAATAAGATTATTTATTTTAATTTTAGCGCTATAGCTAGCTTAGGACTATTATAAGGCTTTATAAGAGTCTTTTCTTTTAGTAAACCGATTAAAAACGCTAATAAGCTAATCTTTTCTAAGCTTATAGCTAGTCTAGCCTATATCTAAGGTTTTAAAAAATACTTATTAATACTCTAGGTTAAAGTCTATAAGCTAAGTATTATAAGCTATGCCTATAAAGGGCTAAGGTTATACTATAACGACCGTACTAAAGTTAGGCTAAAGTAAACCTACGTATAGGTAGAGCTCGACTCGAAATTAGGCCGAATAGCACTTAAATATAAGTCGAGCTAAGGACTAAGGAAGATAGATAACTAACGTAACTAAGATAGAGTTTTCCTCCTTTCTCCTTAGCTTTAGATAAATAATTATTCGGCCCTATACTACTATACCAAGTATATACTAGCCCTTAATATATCTAAAGCTCCTTTTCGATAAGGCTATAAAGCCTAGAAAGAGATCGGACCGAAAGGATATAATATAGATATCCTAACGACCTAGAAAGGGGAGAATAGGCCTAAGGACGGCAAGGAGTAGCGATAGGAGGGCCTAACGCCCGGCTAATAATAAAGTAAGCGATACTCTCGCTATAGGTAAGAAAGGTAGAGATAAGGTATTAGGTAATATAGAGCTAATTATAAATATAGGAACTAATTAGCTAGATTAAGAGGATATACTAAAGGATAGATAAACTAATAAGAATAGGTATATAAAAAGGGGCTAGGGGCGAGATAAGTAGTTTAATACTGCCCTTAGGGGCAACGGGGGGCTAGCGACGCTAACGACTAAGGGGGGGATAATAGGAAAGAATAGCTATAAAAAGCCTCTCCTAAGCCTAGGAAAATTTAACGGATAACGACGGTACTATACCCTATAAGTATAATATATATAAGAAAAGTATAAGATTAATAAAGAATTCTTCTTAAGCTTAAGGGAAATCTTCTACCTTATTTATAATTACCTAAACGCCGGGCTATAATAAACGGTCGCTATATACTATAAAATAAAAGTAGAGAAGAGCTACGATTAAAAGGAATTCCTAAAATACCTTAACTTAATCTACCTTAATATAGATATTTAGTTCAGGCGGCGCGATCTAGATAATAAAATAAAGGAG